CCCCAAAACCCCAAAACCCCGAGTAGAGGTTATTTCTAAGTAACAGTGGAGAATTAATTAAATTAAGATTATCAATGAAACTCACTTTTTTCATCAGACCTAAAAGTATGAGTCTAATGTCTCTCACCAGCCACCGCTACAGAACCATTTCTTTAGTTAACTTATTGCGCTGGTTATCTCTGATGAACTTAGCTTTATCTGTGACTAGCTGAATTTCCGGATATTGAATCTTCATCTAGCTAAGAACTTTCGTCTTAAAAATTATCATGAGGTATAGTTTACTCATCACCGTTGTTATTTGATATCTAATCATTTTATTGCTAATTACTAGATGCACTTCCAGATTATGATCCAAAATCGAAAAATTGAACACATCCACTTGTAGATTTTCCTGCAATGACCAAAATCATTATCAAAAAGCAACAGTTTATTCCCAGTCTGAGCTAGTTGTTATCATTAATTGGAATGATAAAATCTGACTTTTCTGGAGAACAAAACTGATTGCGCTTGTTAGAGAAACCTATTCTCGATAATTAGTTATCTATGATAGTGTAATAATTTCTTATCACCTAAGACCCAATAGTTATCATCTCTATTTCATTAGGATCATATAAGTTTTAGATTCTAATAAGAGAGCAAAACTCGTTAGATTTACTCCTAGGATCAATATTAATGCATCGAGTGATATAATTATTCACGTAAAAATGAACTCCATCTCGATTAAAGTCTAATGATAACTGAGGTAGATTTTCAATTAAATCAAAATCTGATGATGAAAGGTTCAGTCGATGTCCTCTCAAAATGTGACTGTCTATATTGCAGAATTCCTTAATCTGTTTAAATTTGGTCCTTTCACATACTTTATCTATAAACTCTCTCTGAAAATTATTCAAAAAGTTCTCGGAAACCAAAATGTATGGTGTTTTAGTCTCAAATATTATGTTCGCTCTAAATAGTTAATAGTAAGATATTTACTTTGATTGAATAACTTTGTCTCCAAATCTAATAGAGTTTGCAAAGCTCATGTATTAATTGACTTTTGAAAATCTTATCCATGTAATTTTATGTTCTATATCCATTATTTACATGTCATAGCCTCCAATGATTAAATATCCTCCACTTTCTTGAGGACCATTCAAGCATATTGAAAATACTCTACCGTTCAGCCCTAGTTTCTATAAAATAATAAAAAAGCATAATTACATCTACTATTTTGTTGAGGAATGATTCTTGATAGGAATTATCTAAATGTTAAGAGCCTAGTCCAAAGAGTCCATTGATATTTTTATTGATATAGGGGTGATTTTGAATTTTAACAAGACCAACAATATGCTTATCATCATTTTTTTATGATTTCTAAGAGTTTAAATTTTGACTAGCTTATGTGTAGACTACCTCTACATTTTCTAAAATGTAGTCTCCTTAGAATGAGTAGTTTAATTTTTGATCGCTATAAGATGATAATTAATGATATTCAAACATACTAAATGCTAAAAGCGCATCTTGAAGATTAAGATATTTGCGACCTTTGTCTATTCAACTAATATTAAGTACCCTTAGCGTCTAAAATTTAGGACAAACATCTTGAATTATGTTCATAGAGTAGCTCTGATAGAATTTTTAATTTCCAAAGTTATATATTACCATGAGTTAAAGAGTAAGTTGCCATATATTTTCTTATACTCTCCTGCTCAAGATCAACTCCCGCTACATAAATCAAAGTTGTTGAAAAATCAAGTTTTAAAACAAAAGTCTGGTTATTAAAACATACTGGCACAACATAATCATAATCAGTCACACCTTAATTCCCTCTATCATAAAATTCTTCATCAACATCTTGATTGCTAAGATCAACTGACCTGAGTTTTAAAATTTATGATTTCGAAAGGAAAGGAATAATTAAAGTTCCATCTTTTTAAGGGATTTCATCTCTAGTTTTAGCTCTGCTGTTTCTGATATAATCTGACTAAGACTCTTTGAAGCCATTTTATCTTTCAATGTTTTGCTTGTAGAGATAAAAATCAATACAAGGATTAGCAAAATATTAAGCAATTTGTAGTGAAATCAATAGCAAAATTTAAATTCTCAAATGTCTCATTTTGATTTTAATAATTATTCTAACTACAATATAATCATTTATTTAATTCTTGGGGTTTTGGGGTTTTGGGGTTTTGGGG